GCAAAAAACTCTAGGGTTGTTTTTTAAAGCTATGTTACAAATTAACTCAAGTTCTAATACAATATCAAAGGTCAAAATGTCAGTTTAACAAAAATATTAATATTATTTTTACAGAGTGAGAGATGTGTGGATATGCACATCATTTTCCTTGTTAACCAAAGTTTTTAAATTTTGATTTTTCATACATTGTTGTTTTTTTTTTAATTTCATGGAATAAACGCTGACATTTTCAGCTATGTTTCGCTTACGAATCATATGAAATTAGACAGTAGTAATAGTTATATGATTAAAAGCGATGAAAAGAAAACCTATCGCCATATGATGTCCTATATGTGTTGTTCAGTTTCACAGAGAAATCACATGGTATAAAGTTAATAGCTTAGCCTAAATAACCCGTACCTTTGCGGGGAATCGATGCATTATAAAAATTGTTACAAATTTCTGAGATGTTGAATGCAGAAATTGAAGGCTAATGGAAACAATTTTATGAAAAAAAAAATGACATTATAATTTATACCTTACCATAGTGAAAAAACAAAGGTATTGTTGTATATAAATAAACAAAATATGAGATTGAAAGTTAACTAAAAATGCTAGTATGTAGAACAGGTAGAAAAGTTTGTGTATTTGCACAGTTATTGGCTATCGTTAGGTCTCGATACAGCATGTGCGATGTGTTTGCCTGACGCTTTAATTCCGTTAACAAATCCGGTCAGCCAATTTAATAATAGCCTGTCAAAAATCCACAGCTGAACATAAGCCTCCGCCGTGGATTGCCTCATAAATGTTTTTATTTACTGTTTTAAGTCATATATTTGCCATAGTTGCCACGCTTGGCAGACGGGCTTGCAACCGCATCTTTTTATTATTTGAGCCTGTAACAAAAAGATGCCGCTGCCTATCTGCTGTTTCAGTCCTCTGTCACTTAAAATGCCCACGGGATGATATTGGGTAGTGTAACCCAGTGGATTACGTCACTTTTTTATAGGATAATGTGACAAACGAGCACACAGTCCACCTGATGGTAAGTGGTTGCTGTTGCCCATAGACACCTACATCTATCCTCGTTTGCGAATCAAAATGCGGATGCGTTGTCACCTGTGAGGACTAAGATGGAATGCCTCTTTTCCAGTAAAATGGGTCTCCAGTTCTCTACACTCACCATACGAAACACATCAGTGTTAAGCTGCTATTTTACGCTGGTATTCTGTGAGAGTGTGGTCCTTCCCCGGTCGGTTCGACCAGTAGTATATATTAGTAATATAGCTGCAGCATGGCTCTACCACGTACAACAAGTCACTACTACACATCGAATCATAAACATTAATGCTAAAAATTAAATGCGATAAAATCGGTAAAATTATTTTAATTCAACTAATGGAGTTGAAATTCATAACTTTTAGCACGTCAGTAAGCCTACTGTTGGGTTAAAATTGATTAAGGCAAACGTATTTTTTTTATCTGCCTATATAAATTTGACCTAGGTATAATATTTCTAGATTTTGGTGTTCCATTTGTAATACTGTTATTCGTATATACCAGTATCCTTTTAGACCCAGGAATTCACCTGGGTTGGTATTACCCACTGCCCAATTTCACCGAGAAGTGGCAGTGTAGCCACTGTTTTGTTCCTATTTGAAGAGTGAAAGAGACACTATAAGATCAGGCTATTAGGCACATTCCACCTGAGACGTCAAAAGTGACAACGCACCTGTAGCATTCCTTGTTCGAATTGGTTACGGGTGTCCAAGGGCTGTAGTGGTCACTTATCATTAAGTGTACTATAAGCCCGATTCTCATTCTAACATTGTAATAAAATTGTATTTACTTTAGATTTAGTATACCTATTACTATCATGTCGCACCGTCCACTCATTAATACCCTTAATATAAACTTTAACTGTATCTATGTTTAATGTAATGGAATTTCGTAATCCACTTAATTTAGACGTTGAAAAGTTGTAGGCGTATCAAGAAATAAGAACCAATGACAATAAAATAATTTGTTGACTACAAACTAGTATTCTCGCGTATGCATATTTTTTGTTACATTTTTAAATTATTACTAAAAATTTAACTTGCTCGTTTTATTCTTTATAAAGTTAGCTACTTTATTTTAATGGCAATCGTACTTGTATAGAAAAAACATGTCACGTAAAATAAAACTGGGCGTCAAGTACCGTTTCTCCGTCTACTAACTTTTATAATTAACAATATTAAATTAAAAACTACACCGCTAAATACAGAACCTTAATTTGACCGTTCAAAGTTAACTGGTACAGAAATCAAGGTTAGTGTCGCAATGCAAATGGTAGACTATATAAAGAGATACAGTACTAAAATTCTATTTTTTTAATTCAATCTCTTAAAACTTATTATAAAGGCATTTTTTATAAGTATGTACAAAACAAGCACACACGTCAACCTCATTGTAAGTGGATGCTGATGCCCGACAGACACTAATTAATATTTTTACAAATATAACGCGTCACTCATATTTTTTTAAAACAAACAAGTACCGATTATTTAAAGAGTGTTGAGACCGTAAACACGTTTTTCATACCAAAGAATTAAACGAATTGATTTCGGAAAGACATTAATAAATTATAAATTTAAATAATTTTGTTAATTTTAAAAACATCAATTAATTATATTATGTCAACATAATTCTGATATAATTAATTTTATTTTAGTTTTTTATACATGATATTGAATATAATGATACATTTTAATACAAGAAAAGTTTAATAAAGGTGTGAAGAATGAATTCAAAACTAATGAAGGGAAATCAATTTTGAAATATATCTGCATATTAATAGTTATGTGGTAATTGTAAAACTTATTTCATATTGTATGATTTTATGTATGTTTTTAATTATAGACTAGAAACTTTTTGTACCCAAAAACTTTTGCTCTGAACTGAGTTAAATTAACTGGGTACATAGGTTACAGTATTACTTGATTATCCTCAACAAATGAACAAGGCGATCGTACTGACAATTCCATTAACACCATGAAATAGGCCTCTTACACAGTTTAATTTTATAGGGATATCTGCCATGGCTGTCTCGCTTGGCAAGTGGATCGGCGGATACAGCAGAACCGTAGTTTTTTTGTTATTTTGAGTTGTGATCAGGAAGATGCAAGCTGCCTATACCCTGTTTTAATTCCTCTGTGGCCACTTAAGACGATGTAAAATGTCAGGTAGTGGATATTCTTACACCGTCACTACACGTTGCTGTAACCATAAGACTTTAAATTAAGTCGTATTTTCTTAAAAAATATTTGATTACAATGTACAAGATGATTGTATATAAAGAAACACGGGAAAGTCGGATTTATTATTTTATCATAGTATATATATATATATATATACACATAATATTATGTATTACTTACTTTGTATCTAACACCTTCTAATACAAATAAAATTGAAAGCAGTTACGTCCAAAAAATGTCTTTTTATGATTGTTAAAAGCAGCCTTCAAACAACTAAAACCAATGAAATAATTTCAACCTATGAGCTTTAGAACTCGGTGCCGAAACATAGTGTATAGAAGAGTTAAAGTGCCGAGTTCAAGAGCTTTATTTCTTTGAAGTCGGTTTATATTTCTTACTAGCTGTTCTCCGCGACGTAATTTAGGGTTTTAATTATGTTGCGCGGAACCCTAATTCTTTTTCTAAAATATAAGTAGTCTAAGTTACTCCTTTAATATCAGCTATCTGCCATTGAAAGCTCCGTCGAAATCAGTCCAGTCGTTTCGGAGATTAGCCAGAACAAACAGACAGATAGACAGACAGACCGACAGACAGACAAAAATTTTAAAAATTGTGTTTTTATTATAAGTATTGTGTATACTTTCATACGCATTTAGTAAAAAGCTAGGTTTTTGACATTACAAACTCCAATTTTATTTATTTGTATAGATTAAAGTTAAATTTTTTTACTATATTAAATGGCTTAAAGATTATCACAAGTTCAAGGTAACACCACCTAGAATGTGGTTTAAATAGTTACTTTAGAACTTCATCTCCGATTTTTACCTTAGCGGTGAAGTTTTTTCTTAAATTTTGGACAATCTCTGCAGTATAAACTATTTACATACAAATGATCATTAAACTCGCCACATAACTACTAGACGACAGTAACTGTCAAAGATAGAATAATTGAGAACTTCCTCTTTTAATAATTTAAATTAAGAAATAATTCGGTATGTAGAGAGCATTAAAAGCTATGCTGATTTTGAAACCGTTTCATGACTGTTCATTTATAATATCTTAACGTATTTTATCATATAAAATTACAAATTGTCGTAAAATTGTCAAATTGTCTTTTATTATAAATGAAGTCATAAATCGGCTGGAATAGAGTGAGGTCAATGTTTAGTGATTTATAAACTTGCTTGTCAAATAATTTATCTTTCTATCATGTTGTCAATGTCAACGTCTGGGTTTTGTTTACAAAATGGTATTAAATTTTATGTTTTCTTAATTTGATTGATTTCACCTCCCTTTGATTGATCCCTATTTGCCTATTGCTATGCCACGATGTCTTCCTAAAATTTAGATTTATTTTAATGATCAAAGAGCTTACGAGGTTACTACGTCAATTAATACAACGTTGTTTCCGCTAGGGTACAGAATTTTTTCTTCATTTGTTTTAAATCAACCGTGTTTTTCTTACTTATATGCAATTATGATTTGATGATTGACTTCATCATCAAAATATATTTTATTTATTTATTTAATCTTTCATGCACAAAGTTGTACATATGGCGGACTAAATACCATAGGGCATTCTCTCCCAATCAACCATTCTTTTTTTTGGTTTATGTACAAAATAATATGTCATATTAAAAAAAAATTAAAAAGACTACAGTAGTATTTACCTTAAAAAATACGCAATATTTACAAAATGTTTGTAAGCATCTAATCCCTATTAAAAATTCTATTGATATTATTTAAAAAATTAAACACTATTAAATCGGTTTAAATACTCACGAAAATAACTGACAAGCCGATGCAAACAAGGTATCCCCAACCTCCTTCAGGGGGCACCATCTTATAATTCTTTTCATCGCTGTTACTCTCCTGTAGGCTCTGTTTCCGTTTTACAGTCATCCTCCCGCAGATTCGTTGCCCGAAATTCACGTATGTGAACCGAGTGATAAGCAACAAGCTCTTATAAGAAGACGGCAGGTGGTCCCATTAATAAATTCTCTAATAAATAAATTGCACGGCTTCTGTTTGTTTAGAGCTTAAACTATAAAACCGCTACAGAGGATACGTGCAGTAACATTTCGCAAATAGAAAATCCTTGTATTTTCCACAACATAAATTAACAAACAACTGATACCGCAGTTACATTAACGCGACACAGAGCAACGATGTCTACTTAGGCACTACGTTAACGATGCCCCATAGAAATAAGAAACTAGAAAAAATAGATGAGCGTTCGGTATTTTTTTTTTTTTCAATTTAATGGACTCTATGTTTTACTCTTTCACACGCGTGGACATGCGTGGACTGGTCGGATGTAGATGCTCTACTTGATCTTGTCAAGGGGTGATTCAATATTTTTACCTAATACTGGCCATAAATCCACTCATTAGCGTACCGCGCTATTAATATTAAAACAGTTACAGTGTGGTTGTATATCTCAGTAGTACATGGTATCCGTGGGTACATCAGAATAAATATTTACGCGGTTTCTACAACGAGATTACTTTCATTAATCAGTTTACATTATAATATCATTGTCTTTGGAGTTGTTTATTTATTCATGTTACATATTTTATTACTATTTGCAAATAATTTGTAGCCATTCATCAACATTCACTTGCAGTAAACATAATAAATTTATACATTTTCCTTGGGAAATCCATTACTTGAACTATTTTCAAATTTATGAAAGTAATTTTTCTATTTATGAAACATATTAGGTATAAGCTACTGGACTAGAAATAATACGGAGTCAACACTAAGACGAATACCTCACTCATCTTCGATTTGCATGAAAATTTAAGTTCAGGTCCTTTGCCTACGGTGTATTCAAGAGCTCTAGCTCCACTTACTCAATGAGAAGGAGCCTATCATGGGCTTGCGACACTGGGGTCTCGGCAGTGTGCAAAAACCTACACGTAGCCTCCACAACACGCGCGGGAAATTGTGATCTTAAAAACTTTAAAGCAATAATGTACAAATTAGGGAAAAAGATTACCATTAAAACTTTATCCCCTATATATATACGAACACGTACGTACCAGATTATCCACCATTACTGGGACAGCCTGTATATATATGTGGGATGAAGTTTTTAAGTAACTATTTAAACCACCTTTCCTTGGCAATGACGCTTTTGAAGGACCTGGAGGTGGAATTATACTTCTATTTAGAGCGCTGGTGTTTACACCCCGGAACGTTGATGCGTCAGCCCAGGCCCGGTAGCACTCCTGCTTAAAGCGTGATGCTATTTTACAGGAGCCATAAGTATTTTAGATTTATTCCTGGAATATGTATATCAGTATTATTGAATCAAACAATTTTTGTTTTTTCGTGTACATACATTAAATGTTCATAAATATATGTACTGAAAGGATAAAGTTAATGTATTTATTTATTTACATTTTCCTCTAAGGGGTTCCTTCGGATCTAAGTTATAAATTACTCTTATGGCTCTCTTCTGTAATACAAAGGTAGTTTCACTGTCAGTCGTAATACCTCATAGCAAGATTCCTTAAGACATTATGCTGTGGAAATATTTAAAATAAACTAATATAGCTGGTTCAACACATGTAAAGCCTCTAATTTTTTTGTTAGGATATGCTGCAAAACTATGTTTGCTAGCTAGCTTAGATATATGAGGGCCGCAGTGATTATTAAAATTTCCATTTAAAGTACCTTGTTGTTGAGATGATTTAAACAATAACTAAAGTTGTTTTTTCTCTCTTTTCAGGTAACTACTCTGGATTAATAATTGGACTGAAGAAAATAAAGAATATGTATAATGATACGGGCGGCTTTAAGTTGAGTGCTGCGGTTGTATTTCTTTTCTGTGAATAAATCTTGGAATCACCAACTGTTTATGTTGCTAATCAAATTACACTCATCACTGTTATATGTATTCGTTCTTCGGATTAGAATGTTAGAAGCATCGGTGTGACAAAGTGTATGGGAGTTGGTAACACCTCTGTAGCCATTTTTGTTTACTTGAAGTTCGTTTGACACTTCCAAATAAAAATATGTTAACGTTTAGAGAACATACCTTTCTTTTTTTTATAGAAGATGCAAACGTGCATGCGGCTCACCTGATGGTAAGTGACTACCGCCGCCCATGAACAACTGCAACACCAGGGAACTGCAAATTGCAGATGTATTGCCATCCTTTTAAAAATGAGAAGGCTCTTTTCTTAAAGGTCGCTAAGTCGTACCGTCCGGAAAAATCACTGGTGGTAATCGATTCCACAAGGATGTTGTGCGAGGAAGAAAACATCTTCTAAACAACACAGTTTCTGTCGTGTATTATGTTATGTTATCACCTTTTGACTTATTTTGGTCATCAAGCAACGGTGGATCGATAAGATATATCGATATCGATAAGATATATCGATATCGATAAGATATATCGATATCGATAAGGATACTTTAGACATCTAGTACTGTCGCAGTACTGGACATTTTCTAATCGTATCAATCCGCCTTCAAAGTGCAGTAAATCCTTTTATAAATGAAGCCCATATATATCACTGGACTCTTTACAGGCTGGTGAAGAGGAGGATGGGGGATATTAACTTTTTTATAAATTTACCAGTTGTGTAGAGAGGCAACGTAAGATAATATCCAGACAAACCAGTATTCCATTATGTCAGAATGAACAGGAATGAGTAGCATATTTATGATAACAACTGAAAATAATTAAAAAAATACGGTAGCTAACCCACCTGTCAAGCCTGACATACATATATATGGCAAAATCATGTTCAGTTGGAGACTTTTGATAGGCTGTTTTATATTTTGAATGAATGATAAATTTATTCTTAGCGTCATTTAAATGTATCTTATAGGGGTATATCATATTAATAACAATATACATGATTATATGTGTAATACACGCATAACCGTTGACGCGACTCATTTATCAATTAAACAAATTGTACTTAATAATTATTAACATATAAATAATTGACAAAGTTTCTTAAATATTTAAACACAACAATAAAAAATCACATGGTTATGGGTATTTATTATAGTTAACCTACGCCATAGAACTATAACAGGTTTATAAGGAGCTGACTTGGCGATTGGCTATATGCAGATGCTGCGTGCTTTGAGGTACCAAAAGTTGTAGTGTGAAACTTCATAAATTTGATGAGACTGCCAATGTTCCGTATACGTTACGTTCACAGCATCGCTCCTATTTACAATAACCGGTTCTTTCGGTGTAACCGTAAAATAATGGAATACATTATTAACTGGCAGCTCATGCGGTAGCTTGAGGAGCACTAGCTGATTAGTAACCGCCAGTACAGTTTCCGTCGGTGTCGCTCAGCTGATGATCTTCTTCTTTATTTATTTATTTATTTTATTTTCAAGGGAAACATACATAATTTTAGTCTAATACAGAACACATATTAATCTTACAATTAACAATAAAGTTTCCACAGTTAAGTATCTCATCGACAACAAGCGAACATCATGACATACTTTAGTTTGTAGAACTAAAATTAAGTTAAAGTAAAATGTAATATTGAAGTGAAATATAAATATAACTATTACCCATTACAGTTTCAATTTCTTTTTTAAACTGTCCATATGACAGAGAAATTACATCAACATGTGAAAAGATGGTATTATAAGAATTACATGCACGAGTTATAAAATTGTTTTTGCCATATTTAGTGTGTATTGTAGAAGTACAAAATAAAAGTTTCTTTCTAGCACTTATCCTTTGGCATCTGAAATTTATTTCACTTAGAAGTGGTATGGAGTCGACCCTATTATGAATGATTTTATATAAAAACATCTGATCCCTGACAGTACGACGAGATTTTAGGTCAGAGGCTAATCTACACAAAATAGAGGCATCACCGGCTGATCTAAATTAGATATGCTTCAGAAATTTATTGTGAATTTTTTCAGTTGACTCTATATAAATATTATATTGAGGATTCCAAACTGTTGAGCAATATTCTAATATTGAGCGGACTAATGAGTTATACAAAATAATTAGAGTTGAGGGTTTTTTAAAGTCTTTAGTAATTCGTAACTATTTTATCAATATGAGATCTAAATATTAATTTTTGATCCAAATATGCGCTTAGGTCCCGCAACTCGGTTACTCGACATATTGATTCATTATTTATTTTATAATCAAATTCTATGGGTTTGTTTTTCCTGCTGAATGTTATAACATTACATTTTTTAATATTTAAGAACAATAGATTATTTGAACAATATGAGTGTAATCTATTAATATCTTCTTGCAGTAACTTACAGTGATGTTCGTTTTAAATAATTTAAAAAAAATTCTTATCATCAGCAAATAGAAGTATGTTAGAATGTTGGAATTGCAAAAAAAACATCATTTATATAAATATTGAACAAAAGAGGACCGAGATGCGAGCCCTGAGGGACACCCGAAGATATTGGTAAAAACGAAGAACAGTACCCCTTAACTGCTGCCGCTTGAGTACGATTACGCAAGTAAGATGCTACCTAACTCAGGAAGTCACCGTGCACACCGATTTGGTCTAATTTTTTGATGAGGATTTCTTGAGATATTTTATCAAAAACTTTGCAATAATCGGTGTACACGGCATTCACCTGTAGCCACCTGCATCCATTGCTTTGTGATAAATATCAAGATATTCGCATAAATTACTATCTGTACATTTCTTAGTCATGAAACCATAGTGCTGGGTCAACAAGGCGGGTCTGATGGTGGGGTATATAGCATCATACACAATTTTCTCAAAGAGCTTGGGCATAGTATTAAGTTTGAATCTCGGACGATAATTTTCTATATCCTGTTTATAACCGGACTTAAAGACAGCTGTAACAAAGGACTGTTTCCAGGCATATGGCATCACTCCCGTTTTCAATGAAAGATTAAACAATCTTAA